ATTTTACGTTATTGCGATTGGAGATTAAAAAAATTGAGATGGAATAACAAATCGTTCTCATGAAAATAACTGATTTTTTCATTGAAACAAACGAATGTTGCATTTTATTAAATGGATTGTAACAATAAGTATAATTACGGCTTTTCTTCCACTATTTTTAACTCAGTTTGAAACTTCAAATGCGATATAATTTTGGCTTGGACCATCTAAGCTGACTGACATCAACTTGCTATAATTCCTGTTTACATTACATCGCAATTCGATGACACTCTGGCTCAGACACCAGAATGTTTTGACGATTTTAGCATTCGTTTAGGATTTTCAAACAACCTGGTCTCTTTTAAAATACTTTTAATTTGTTCTTACGTGGTTTTCCAGATGTAGTGACGACAACATTAGAGTTTAAAGAAGAAAATTCTAACATTTAAACCGACTAAACAATAACATAGTAAACTTGCATAATTAAACAGTAACCAAAACTTATAGGTTTTACTAAATCTTTTCCTGTGCCATTATTACTAGCATTGGAGACAAGGATAACAGTTTGTTTGAAAGAGAAAAGAACAGGCTTTGAAGTAAGCCTAAAAGCGTTCAACTAGAAATAGCATTTCGAAAGTTATTAAGCACAAAAGATGAATTGCGTTTATTTTGATACACCCTGTATAATAGTCCTTTCACAAGTTCAGTTTTTAGGACATCTCTTTCTTAAATTATATGGATTGCATAGTCCCACATGCCTTCCTCCCAATGGATTAGTCATTGGGTTTGGGTTCCGTTCGTCATTCGCTTGAGACGTATTGTCACCAGGAGGGGAAGGTGCAGGTCTTAGATATCTTCGATTACAGGTGAGTGTTGATCCTTGGTCGGTTAATACTATGTAGGTGTGATTCGGTTTAATTTCAGCAATTGTTCCAAGTAGTGACCAATCGGAATCGACGTGGGAACGAATAGCTACACAGGTACCAGTCTGGGGAGGAGGTAATGGGGTAGTATGTTGATCAGAGGTATCTTTCTCTTTTTTCTTGATATCAAGGATTTTCGCATTCGTCTCATTATCTAACGTTGATGGACCAGGATAACGAGGGAGGGAATCGTGGAGTGTTCTGCTAAGCTGCAATTTGCAGGACTCTTACCACATGAGAGGAGTATTTCGAATTGCCAGCAGACCTTTCCAAAATTGGTCATTCATAGAGCCACACTTTTTGAGGAGCTTCTTGACATTCTTTACCGCGGCTTCGGCTTTGCCATTTGACTGAACATGAGTAGGAGAAGATACAGTGTGTATAAAATTCCAACTTTCAACAAACGTTGCAAAGGCTTTGCAAGTAAACTGTGAACCACCGTCTGATACGACTTCAACGGGTTGACCAAATCGAAAGAACAATTGCACGAGTTCTTTGATCAACGCTGGTGCTGTTGCGTCTTTACCAAGATCATAAACTTCAGTGAACGAGGAGAAATAGTCCGTGACAATAAGGTATTCTCGGTCATTAAGACTATAAAGGTCAACGCTTAATTTGTCCCAAGGTCGTGTGGGTAGAGGTGGTTGCTGCAGAGGCTCTTTGGAATTGACAGGAAGAAAAGTTCGACATTCAGACGTGGTAGGGTTTGAAACTGGATGGCCCACTTCGGTCGGTTTGTTGACACATATCTGAGGGTTGTTTTCCGATGCGTCGCGGGTATTCAATGATGAGGGATGGTTAAGGTTCTGAAGTAGTGTAGAAATGGGCCAGTCATCATCAATAACACCAAGTGCATGACAGGCAGGAGAACCAAGGATAATGCCATCTTCACCATGAACGATATAGAGCCACTGATCAGCAGAAATGGTGGGATTTTCTGGAATCCACGAAATCTTTAGGAGAACTCGAGCTTCGACATCCAAGTTATGACCTCCAGCGGTCTTGATGGAACCACATTCAAGATTGTATGACCACTCAGGAGTGTGAAAACGGGTAATCCAAGCATAACCGACACAGTTAATGTTGGAGCCAGGATGAATCATGCATTTTTGCTTCCAGTTGTGGTTACCAAGTATAAAATCAGTGTAGTAGTGCTTACCAACACTAGGAATGGTGATGGCTTTGACAGAGACATCAGAAGTAATGGGTAGTTCTTGATCAGCTGAAATGACTTTAAGAGTTGGTTTAGTGGCGGAACCAAGCTTAGAAGATTCATCAGTAACTTTCTTGTCAGGATCAACAGGGTCACCTGTTGGTTTAGAGGACTTGGGGCACATGACAGATTTAGCCCAGTGACCTCTGTTTTGACAATCCCTACAAACAGAGTCCTTTGTAGGGCAAAATTCCTTCTTGAAAACATGATACTTCATGCAAAATTTGCATTTTCGCAAATTTTCATCCCTTGTAGGTGGAGACTGGCCCCTTTTCCCAGTGTCATAAGAAAATTTCTTTTGTCTGTATGTAGAGGCTCCAGTCTTGTTAACTTTAGTTAAAAACTTATCAGCTTGGGATGAGGTAGCTTCATCTACCTGGATATACTGTACAGCTTTGTCAAGAGTAAGGTCTTGAATACAGAGAAGTCCCTTTCTTATATCATGAGACTTTATACCGGCCACGAGACGTGCCAAGAGAATTCGGTTCTTACACGACATTCGTGTTGAGCTCTGGCAACAGTCCTTGTATTGACATTTATTTAATAGTGTTTGTAGATCATTGTAAAACTCGTCAAACGATTCATTCCAGCCTTGTACTCGTTTGTGGAATTCATATTCATGCACAAATATATTTGAACTGCCACATACCTGGCGTTGAAAAGATTCAATGAGAGTTTGAACATCTTGTTGTCCTAGGTTGTTCATTCGTTTGATAGTATCATCACTAAGTACATTAATAAAGAGAGCTTTTTGAGTTTCATTTGCATGAGAGTTCATAAAACCGAGTAATCGTCATAACAGAGTCCCATCGCTGTTTCCATATCTCAAATCCTTCAGGAGAACAGCTACTAATGTCAAGCTTAGTAAGTTTTCCGATTTCCGCCGAGATAAATGGTAGATTTACACTTGTTCCAGAGGCGCCATCGCCAGATTGTTGAGAACTTTTTCGGTGGCATTTAGATAAAATTACGGCCGAGAAACTTGAATAGTCGAATTTCCCTGCTTCCTTCAATCCATAGAAAACACAAGAAACATTTAACTTTCACTATGAAAGCAGGATTGATCAGGATTGATCAAGATATTTTCGAGAGAACTGTCGACTACGCAATGTTGTATTTTAGAATAATTTATTATAATTTGTATCTAATTATTTACAATGTTCCTAATATATTATATAAGTATAAGTACTTCATGTAACATAATGTAAAAGCATAATACCACACTCCCCATCCCCAAATCGTGAGATTCCTGCTCGGTTCTTTAACAAAAATTCCCACCGTGGACAGGCATATTTTTCAAGCTTGCCCGGTGTGTATATACACTCAGAGTAACATCACAAACTGGACCATCATATTAATATTATTGACCATAAATATGCATGTCGCGTATCGTGTCCTGATTGGTCGCCTAGCCGCTGCCATGCATTGGTTCCCACCTTCATTTTTCGCGATTTTCCTTTCACCTCTCAAATTTTGATATCCACTGCACAATAATTGATGTCCATCTCTCAAAATTTGATGTCCAACTCTCAAATCACGTCGGGGGCAAAGGTCAATCTGTTGAAATCAGCTACTTGAAAATTTTTTTTAACACAAATCGAGAAAATTGTTGTTGATGTAGCATTGAATTTGAAGATACATGCCAGAATTTATATGTAACAGCGTTTGAGGAGAAAAATGTTTTTCATCAAAACAATTAAATAGTTGATAATATGGGCTTCCATCCAAAATTTCCAATATTTGTCGTTTTTAGAAAAAACATTAAAATGCAGTCTTTATAGCGTTCTTTATAAAAAAACGTATAATCCGCCAATATAATCGTATAATCCGATAATCTCGTACCGAGAAATTAATCCAGCAAATTCTGCACATTCTTAGCCTTAGGGTAAAACCATGATTTTACCCGGAGCAAATAAAGTTATGCGGTTAGTTGGTTTATTCTATTGTCCTATACTTTTCAATTGTTGTTTTATGTAAGTTATTCTAATATATGCCAAAACGCTTTCTATTATAAAATTCTATTGTTGATACTGAATGAATATTTGTCCGAAATTTTCACCGTTTATTTAGTAGTAAGAGAGCCTTAGCCATGTCCTGAACCTAAAGAAATGCATATACTGATCAGCGTCATGATTATTGCATGCAAGAGATCCCTTATGTATGAATTACTTTCTTGGTGTATCTATAAAAAGGTTAAACATGAAGGCCTGATTCTATTATCTGTGTAATTTTTTAGGTTCAGATATTAGGTGTCCATTAATTAAAGCTGTTTTTATGATCCTCATTAATTTAATTTGACTCACATCCTTTTTGGAGCAAACCTATATTTTACTATAAATAAATAGAAATAAGTTTCCATTATTATTATCATCATTATCATCATTATTATCATTATTATCATTATCATCATTATCATCATTATTATCATTATCATTATCATTATTATTATTATTACAACATATGAAAATATAGTATCGTACAAATTGAGACTAAATTTATAGGATAGGAAAAACGAAATGGATTTAAATTAATATCACGGAAAGGTTTTGACCAACAGTCGGGATAGTTTTTACTATTTGTTTGAAGTGAATGTTTCTAAGTTTTAAATATAAGTTTAAATTGTCCGTGAATATGTTTAACACAGTAAAATAGTAAAGGGATCCTACCTTTCAAGTTAAGGCGAATAATTGTTAAATATTAGTATACTAGCCTATTATTGTTATTGTTATTGTTATTATTATGAGGATTTTATACTTACAAATGAAACCATTTATTGCACGAGTTACATTGGACCCATGAAGCTGTCATTCCCTTCATGTTGGGTGGCCACTTGCGATGGCATAACACACAGAGATCGTCAACGGTATCTGTGTCGGTATTATTTTTCACACTGTTACCTATAAAGACGTAACAAACACTGTTACCTATATAAAGTAGGAAATACTTTTACCTATAAAGTAATTAGTATTGTGGCTTAAACTGCCGCAAACCTTAGATTTTCCAGAGGTTGGTATTCCACAAGCCATGGCTGCATCATTGATGAACTTGCTATCATACTGTTCAATTCTGCTCATATCAAGCTTTCCATCCGATATTAGTTTGTGCAAAAGTGCCGGGTCACCTTAATATACAGAATAAGTGAAATTACGAATTAATTGGTTAGAACAGTTATGTAGTATATATTAAATACTTATATGTTCAGGTTATACTATATATATGCTTCGAAGCTCTTTTTTACAGCAGGCCTTGATAATTGTAGATTATAATTATACAGTGTCCCTAACCTGTTGGCTGATGTGGCTTTAGATATACACTCTTTTTTTTCATCTCAGTGTTGACAGCAGTACCAGTTAGACGAGGTGCTATAATAGGTGGTAGTTCCTCTATCGCTACTGTAAACTTCTCGTTTGTTCTTGTAAACACTGTTTTTTCAAGCCAACGTCGTCTGAGATTTGAAAGAAACTCTTGTAGTGGAATCATATCCTTGTGGTTCTCGTTATCTTTAGTATAGTGAATCTATTATAAAAGACATTTTATATAAGACATTTCATGCATGAGGCGTATTTTCCGCAAATTCCAATATAACTTCTAGTGATTAAACGCACTCACGGCACTAAAATTGAGAGCTTGTTTATCGTGTAACATATTAAAGGCAGTAAAGACATGAATGCGGAGACCGAAAACCACATTCTAGCTCCGGCTGAGACCAAACCAAGGTTTTGCTATATATATAATAATATTTTTTAACCTAAGGGAAGCCTCACATATCGATTTTGTCCATGAGAAACGTCATATGTTCGTCTCTCTGAAGACCCCCCCCCACCCCCCTTAGAAACGTCACACATAGTTATCGATATTTTGTTCTTACAGTACACTATGAGTACACATAAGGTAATTTTCTACTATTTTTTTTCGGTCGGCTATTGGCGATGCTTCCGCGAGGAATATGTCATCTTCTGCTGACATACTCTTTTTTTATTAATATATATGTGAACTTCAAAATTTCCAACGTTTCTCAAAACAACTTTTTTGCATGAAATATTGATAATTTTAGCGCGTATTTCTTGAAATTTGAGTGTTTTCAAATG